TCTCAGTGGCTGGGCTGTCTCTCCGGCGAGGGCTCTGGTGGTAAGGTTAGGGTTTAGGTGTGGATGAGATTATTTATAACATTCTGCTTTTAATCTGAGCCGTCCATCATGATTTAATCTGGGTCGTCCGATCGCGATTAAATAGGAAATGAATCTGGACCGTTCATCACGATGCAATCTACGCCGTCCGTGCGTGATTTAATCTGGGTCGTCCGTACGCGTGTAATCTGGGCCGTCCGTACACGCTTTTGATCTGGGCCGTCCGTGCGCGTGGGAACTGATCTCGGCAATTTGATCGCGCGTATGCGGATCGCCCACGTGGCTCCCTTCCATGTGGCCTCCCGCGTCAGAGTCTCTGCAACGCGGCGTGTCCTGGTTGGCCGGGGCTGCTGACCGGACTGCTAACATGGTGTAATTTTTTTAAATTGCGTTTTGACCCCCGATTTTCAATTTTCTTTTCAAAAATACCCACAGAACTCAAATTTTCACCCTTTTTTTCCAAAATTATTTTCAATTAAATTCTAAAAATAATTTTATCTCTTTTTATTATTATTATTATTATTATTATTTCTATTTAATTAAATTAAACTAATTTAAAACTATATATTATTACATAATAAATTATTATATTCATATAAAAAATTATTAAAAAAATTAAAATAAAATAATACTAATAATAATAATAAAAAAAGGATGTTACAACTCTCCCTCCTTAAAGAAATTTGGTCCCTCAAATTTGCCTCTTACTCTTGATCGAACAAATGGGGGTACTAGGTTCTAAAGTCTGATTCCAACTCCCATGTAGCCTCCCTTGGCGTGTGGTTCTGCCACACGACCTTTATAAAGGATATCTCCCGGTTGCGGAGTAATCTGCTCTTTCGGTCCGTAATACTGACTGGTACTTCCTCATAAGATAAGTCTTCCTGGAATGGAAGCGGTTCATGAGCCAAGACATGAGAGGGGTCCGGGTTGTACTTACGTAGCATGGATACATGGAACATATTGTGGACCTTGGAGAGCTCTGGAGGCAGTGCTAGTCTGTAGGCGGTAGTACCGATTCTGTCTAAGACTTCAAATGGTCCAATAAACCGGGAGTTCAGTTTTTCCCTCCTACCGAACCTACTAATTCCCTTAAAATGGATGACCTTAAGGAACACCCAGTTGCCTTTTTCAAAGGCTAAATCTTTCCTCCGGGTGTCCGTGTAACTCTTCTGCCTGCTCTGAGCCGTCTAAATATTCTTTCTGATTTTAACTATTTTAGATGTGGTCTCTTCTACCAGCTCCGAGCCGAACAATTTTTTATCGCCCACTTCTTCCCAACAAATCGGCGATCTGCATAGGCGCCCATATAACGCCTCATACGAAGCCATGCCAATGCTCACTTGGTAGCTGTTGTTGTAAGCAAATTATATCAAGGGTAGATGGTAGTCCCAATGGCCTCCAGAGTCAAGGACACAAGCTCGGAGCATATTCTCAAATGTACGGGATTGTCCTTTCTGATTGTCCATCAGTCTTAGGGTGGAAAGTAGTACTGAGAGAAAACTTTGTCCCCATGGCTTGCTGAAAGCTACTTCAAAATTGAGAAGTGAACTTGGGGTCCCTGTCGAATACCACAGTCATTGGGACTCCATGTAATTTGACTATTTCCCGGATATACATTCTTACCAACTTGTCCAAGGGATCGGTCATCCTGATAGCTAAGAAATGGGAAGACTTGGTATGCCGGTCAACAATTACCCAGATGGCGTCATGTCTTGAGCGTGCCTTGAAAAACCCTATTATGAAATCCATGGTGATATGTTCTCACTTCCACTCCGGGATCGGTAAAGGCTGAAGTAACCCGTCTGAGCGCTGATGCTCTACCTTGACCTGCTGACATACCAAGCATTTAGATACAAATTCAGCTACGTCACTCTTCATCCCATTCCACCAAAACCGGGGTCGCATGCCTTGGTACATTTTGGTGCTTCCGGGATGCATGGCAAAC